AAGGGCGATTGCAAGGAAGTCTGATGGTGTATAAAAAGGGCGGTGGAGAATGTGAAGACAGATATTAGTTGCTGTCAGACCACAGAGATTGGTGAGGTTCTCAGGCTAGTTTGTTGGATGCTGGCCAACAATTTGCAGATCACCCAGATGGCGTTGCAAGCCCAAACTATGTTGGGTTGTTTGCTGGTCAGTCATTTGCAGATCACCCATGTGGTCTGCGCGCGGCGGAGCACAAAATTGTGGTTCATCCGAACAATGCTGGTCAACCATTTGCAGATCTCCCATGTGGTCTACGCCTTGCGGGGTCAACTGCAATCCGGGCATATCATGTTCCAATCCCTCAACGTTTAGGGCTGCATCCTGAGTAGGGACTGTACCTGGAGTCGGGAGTGTACTCTGGGCAGCGGCTGCATCCTGAGTAGGGACTGGTGGCTGCCTGCAGGCATCTGGACTGTCTGCAGGAGGCATAGGAGCGGATATTGCCGTTTGAAACAAAGGAATCACAACAACCTGTGGAGGCGGCACAGAGAGAATCGGGGCAGACAAAGAAACAAGTTGCTGATCCCCGGACAAGTGACGATGTCGCGGATGTCGTCGGTGATACACAACAAGAGGAGTAGTGGTGTTGCAAACAGAAGCTGAACTTGTACCTAGCAACGAAGGTGGAACAATGGGAACAATGGAAACTGGAGAGTCTGTTCGCAAGCGAGAACGTGGAGGAGACGGGGGTGGTGAGGAGGAACGCGGTCGTCTATGGCCAAGCACAGACAAAGATGAGAGGGGGGTGCATTGGGCAAGATTTCGAAGCAAAGGACGTGAGCGTCGAAGAGATTGTGATGTTCTTTGCATTGGAGCTACAGGACAGGAAGCTGTAGCGGTAAAAACTAAAGTAGGGGGAAGTACAGTTAGGGAAACTGTTCTACTGAAAACTGCAGCAGTGGAAACCGCAGCACTAGAAACTGCCGCAGCAATGGGGGCGAAGAAGAAATTGGATGATACAAGGACCATCGCAGCATGCGTCGGAACCACTGAGAGAGACGCGTCACATGCGTAGGATAGCGACGTTGGCGGGAGCGCATGTAGCAGGTCCAGCCCTTAGCAAGGGTTGGTGGGGAATGCCCGCGTGAAAGCATACGACGAGTAAGTGTTGTTGCCGCAGTTCGGAAGTTCTGCCAATTGTTACAGATTTGTTCAAATCTAGTCAATTGCCCAGTGAACACACCAGTCGGTTGATGGGAAGGGATGTTGGAGGTAGCACTTGGATAGCGAATAACAGGGAAATCCCAAGCAGCCGCTTTATCAAAGACGCTCATGCGAAGCGAGCCATCGGAACGGACCCGTAGATGCATACCTAAAAAGGTACAGGAGCCATCTGTAGTTGTAGTCTCCATCCACTCAAGCCCATAGTGCTCTGGTGGAGGAGGTAATTGTCCCCATGAAAGAACATCATCAATGAGGCGTGATGGCATATTGTTGAGCAGCTTGAAGATCATGTTGACAAATGTCATCGACAAAGCGTGCTTCATCCCAATACAGCGTCAGATTAGAAATTTATGGGCCAGCATTCGTTCCCATTGGAATACCAATAATTTGTTTCCGAAGCATGCCATCTCTCGTGTATAGAAAAGTGTTTTGTACAACAAAGCGAAGATGTTGGAGAATCTGAGAAACATAAAGGGTATCCGGGCCTGAATCAGTTGTCCATTGGCCACAACGAGGTCCTCGAATAACCATGTTGAGGGCAACGCAACGTGAATTCGTGCGAGCTTGCCGAAGGGCATAAGCATGAGCTTCATCAACAGCTTTTGCCGCATTATTCAGAATGCGGTCATGAGGAAGGTTGGTGTACATTGTGGTAAAATCAACAGTGCAAGGAGAGCGGCCACAAAGAGACGATGCATTGCTTTTCAAGTCAATCGCCACTTCATCGACACTCTGAACCATCCAGCACCGTCGAACACCAACCTGTTGATAGAGCTCAATGTCTTTCTCGCGAAGAGTAGAGATCACTCCTTGCGAAGCAGCGCTGAGATACGACGAAGTGGTCGTTGTGCTAGCCAAGGGTTTGTGAGGAGGCCGTTCATGAATGGTGCAAATTGTTGGACGAGGGCGAGCACGCAAGGCAACAGCACTGTTATTTTGTGCTGTGACTCCAAGAATGCTACGAAGAGCTGGAGGAGACTTGTGAGCTTTGAGTACATAGTAAAGGTAAGGTAGGGTATCAGTGTGGGTGTAACCCCAATGGTGATTCCACGCTGCATGATGGTCAGATACCAATTCTTGCAGCAAATTGCCAAATTGTGTCCACAGGGACAATGGCAAAGTGTTGTTGAAGATGGTGCAAGGAGGCATGTGTAGAACGTAGTGGACGTGTCTGGCTCACATGATTGGAGAACGAAGATGCATTGGATTGACAATGCGCAAGGATTGCAGAACGCCAGCTGTTCAGCTTCTGAGAAAGAGTCGAGAAAGAAGAAGATCGAGAATGTCCAGCCAACAACCTTTTGTAATTGGCAATGTACTCATCTAGTCCAATTGCCAGTGCCTGGAGCACATCGGCAGTTTCCCCATTCAGCCGATACTTCGAGCCTTCTTGAAAAAGCTTGCGAAGGCTATCATCGGAGATGATATTGTAGTTAACAGACACAATATGGCCATCCACAAGATCAGAACAATGTGGAAAGGCTCTGCGGCATTCGCAATCAGAGTAATCGGGTATATGGAAACAAATCGGACTTGCCATTCGGCTTCAACCAGCCTTTGTATCACCTTATGAACATCTAGGGTTTGCAGCAGCTACCAGAGCATGAATGGAGTTTTAGGCAGTGCCACCTGCCAGTTCATGGTCACAGCTTCCAAGATTATGATAAAACCAACAACAGACAGGAAGGTGCGAAGAATGAGCCCTCGCGAGGCCCTTCTTGGGATGCAAATGTTCTGGGCTGCGGTCCCCAGCAAGCCTCGTGCCCGCCCTAAGTGAAGGCGGGCCTGTACATCCACGAGAGGCCTATTTTCAACATTTTTCGTATGTGGGGTATCAGACAGTTGCAGCATGCCAGTTGGTTACAGAGCAACCTGAGCCTTCTGTGGCGCCTTCCAGAAGCAACAGCTGCGCTGTACAGTTGGGCCCAGCGCTCAGGTGGTTGCGCCCTGGGCACACGCAGTGGGAGGCCAACACATCACGCAGCAGCTAAGGACCAATGAGAATGCAGCATTGTCGTCGCACATCTACCACGAGCCAATGAGAATGCAGCAAACACCTGGAGCCTGGAGGGCTACCTGGATGGGCCTAACTGCACGAGGACCAGGCCACTATCTGAAACTGGGCCTGGGCGCAGACACTTTGGGCCAACTCGAAGCTGCTGGGCCCCTACACGCCAGGCCCAGGACAGTGAGCGGCAGGGCACACTTTCCATATAGGAAAGTGTGAGCCCAGGGGCACGGTATTCTGGCCTTAGTAGGCAATGCACCCACGCTGCTGCTTCGCCGTGTGGTAGCTGCGCTAGCAGTCAGGCCGGACGCACGCACGGGCACAAGAGGTGTAGAGGGGCGCTGCGGTGGCAGCGGGCGCACGGCGGCCAAAGCCGGGCCGCTGGGGTGGAGGCTGGTGATGGTGATGGTCGTCTTCGGGTAGGAGGCGCATGCAGAGGGGAGACGGGGTGATGAGGAGAGGAGAGAGAACGTACCTGGTGTATGCTGGTGGTCTGCATTGGTGATGATGTCACGTACATTGGTCTTCAACTTCGATGAGATCCTGTTGCATGAATGTAGATAGGCTAGATAGGTTGAGTAGTGTAGGCTGGGCGCTGGGCACCAGTCAGTAGGAGCGACATTGGATACTGTGTTGGTGTGGCCAGAGACCGTCGACATTGACATACAAGTTCATTGTATTGCTTTTATTTGGATGGTATCTCGGTGCATTGTGCTCTCTGTTTGGTACGTGACTATCTGGGCTACTACGTGATTTTGCAATTTGGATTTCTGTATATCGCTCTCGCTCATATTCCTTGCAAATGAAACAAAATGAGAGCAAGAGGTCGGTGAGTTGGTTTTGCTAACTCGGTACAACTAATAAACAAGCTCCTCTGAAAAGCCCTTTATGGATTGCTATTCATAGGACTGGACCAAAGGGTGCTCAAAATCAAGTGCACATGAAGGACTGGGCACAGGATAAATGCCCTTATCTTGTCAGAAGGGGTATGCCACTAACGTCTTCACCCAGATAAACGCCCGGTCATTATGGCTGTATTTGGGGCAACTGTCAGACCAAATGCAGCGATAAGGACCGCTGTTCATCAACAATTCTACGTGTCTGTCATTCAGCCACCAGCCCGGGAAATTGCCATGCCATGCACAACCCATCAAATAGACAAGCAAACAATTACAAGGTTTGACACAGCGAAGCATCTCCTGATGAGGAACATCCCAAGGCAGCAGACGGTGAGATATAAATAGAGGAAGCAAGAAACAAGAGTTGATGGAACATGGTGTCCTCCTGAGAAGTTCTCAATGATTACCTTCTCTCTGCAAGCACCGCTCCGTGTACTGTGGAGGAATGGGGAAACGGAATGATAAGCCCTGCACACAGAATGCTCTCAAGTTAATAGTCTTCCTGCCTGTTGCCTAAACATAAAAAGCACATGCTCTACAGTCCAGACTCCATAATGTCTCTGCACGGTGCCTGACCACACAAAGGAACGATTATTTCAAGGTGCACCATTCAGAAGATTTGATATGTACAAAGTCATTGCCCTTTCGGCAGGACTGTCTTCTCCAAGTTCCCCACAATCAGCAGAGGGACGTAGTTGCGCGCACTACCCAAAATCTTTGCAATAGGACATCAAGAACACATCAAGAACATATGCTGAGCATGTCAAGCGGAAAATGATGCGCATAGCAAGCGGAAAATGCCACTTATATCAAGTGCAAATGCTCTGTACATCAAGTCGAAAAAACTACCTCCCTTCCGATTCCTGTGCACCATTCACCACTTGCCTCTCCTGCCCTAGTCACCTTCTGCACGCGAGACCAGACATGGGACTTTTCCAACACGTATGAATTTGATAGTATTATCTGTACAAGGTATCTCAGATTGTGGCTCCACTTGCAGAGTAGGTAAATGTGGTTTTCACTCTCTCTCTCTCTCTCTCTCTCTCTCTCTCTCTCTCTCTCTCTCTCTCTCTCTCTCTCTCTCTCTCTTTTGACTGTGCAAGCGCATGTGCACACCTGCCCTTTTCTTACGCACACGTGCACCACACTGACACATGAATGTCAGGGTGGACAAGTAGTAGGCACACCTGTTTTCCACTCCCTGTCTTTTGACATAACTTCTTTCAAGGTATTCAATCCAATAGACTCCGAATAACGGATTCTCACTTGCACAAGTGAACAGAGTGAAGGTGGGAAACTCAGTGATGTTTGTTGAATGCAACATTCACAGCAATCACCAATCAGACCGTAGTCACACAACTATTGCATTCAAGTGCCTTTGTGTTCACACTCGCTTACTCGTTCATAACACAGGTGCAGAGCCTGGACTCGCACCGACTAAGGCTGTCCAGCATTGAACCCTATCAATTGGTTCAGGCCAACTGGAGGTAACATAGAAGTCCGATATTCTGCTGGATGGTTGGCTTCACGATGATGAATGAATTGCTGCCATTCTAATTCCAGCTTGATACTGCCATACCTAACAAGCAGACTTTACGTATATCATTTTTAGATCCAGCAACCCCAAGGTTTAGCGCACCACATCACCTTCCCTCCCCACCCCCATCAAGGCCTTTTTTTTTCTTTTTTCTTTTGACAAACCAGTCTTGCCGCTGGGGAGGGTGATACGAGCACCCCCCCCTAGCAGTTATCCTGGGTGCTCCCGTCTATTGGTGGGGAGCCACACCTGCTGGAAACGGGGTCCATCGTCCCATCTTTCATCAATCATCAGAGTCACCATCAGAACTTCCTTGTGCAAAGTGTCATCCTGCGAGCATTGATTGCCCTGATTGCCAGGGGATTGACTGAGCAGGTAGTGATGAGCTTGGGAGAGGCTTGATGATTTGGGAAGGCACGGCGAACATTTGACAGGCCTCACCCTGGGGGCACCGGGGAGAGGCTCATCGCAGGTTCGTCACTTGCTGCATTCCTGTCGTGATCCTGTCCTGATCTTGGCTTGGTCTTGTCACACTTTGCCGCCTGGTCAAGTAAGAACTTCCATCAGAGCGAGGGGGTGGGGCGGGAATGGGTCCAGGAAATCAGATGGGGGCGTCATCGGGAAAGCCGGGTCATTATGGGTCCAGTCATTGAAGACGGAGTCTGTAATCTCTCAGAATTCCTTGATCTGTCGCAACGGCCTGATCCCCTGACCACTCGATTTGAGCCACCCATCCCCCCCCGTTTCCCACCCGGCCACTCCATGCAGAATTCCGTAATCACCCTTTTAATATCACGGGCTGTCTGAAAAATGTCTAACTGCCGCTTAAGGTCGCCCCATCTATGCATCAGCTCCAGTTGCACTAGCTCCCTTATCTGCTCTGTCAGTTCAGGGCCTTCGATCTTTACCCCCTCCAAAACAGGAAGGCAGCGTTGCCAACAAAGTGTCCATAAGACAGACCGTCTACCCAAGCTGTACAGATTACTCACGTAGGGAGGGGCACTTTCTATTGCCGGGCAGTGCCCTGCCAGTATGGCTTGCCAAGTCCATGGCTAGGGGGTGTCCGGTATCGCTTTTCTCCAAATGTGGTCCCACCACCACAATGTCAACAAGGCCACTGGGCACTGCATAAAAATGTGTTCAATAGTTTCATTCCTTTTTTGTGTTGGGAAGGCAGCCAGGCATCGGTGGCACCACGGGTGTGCTTTCCCTTTTTGTTCCAAATGGGTATGGTCAATTAGCCAGGCATTCGTTGGCAAACAGCGATGAGCGATCTGCCATTGCAAAGATGTGACTTTTGCCGGCCTGGCTTTACTTTCGTTAAACCACTTAATGGGTGTGAGGAGGGACCGATCCACGTTCAGGTGTTTAAGCCCATCTATCAATTGTCAGATCCCTCAGTATTCTTTTGGGTCTAAGCATCCTATACATGGATCTGACCGAAAGTGTGTTTAGGTGGACTCTTTTACCAGTCGCCGCTGCTGCCCCCCGGGCCGTCTGCCATTGCCAATCTTCAGGGTCAATAGGCAGCTCGTGTACCGATGTATGGGGAAGAAAGACTGTGGACTCCTGTCCTTCCCGAACACTCGCACTCGGAACACCTCGGCTTTCTCCCGCCAGGCCTCATTCATTCAGGTTCTTTAAGATCTCATAGATTGACTAACTTGACCTTACCGCATTGACAAAAGCCCCAGATGCCCCATTTACATGAAAGGAATTCCAGACAGGCAACAGGCCCCTGTGTCGGGATTGACCAGCCGATGGGCCAGTTTTTGGTTAATTAGCCATGCATTCAATTCAGGCCAAGACATAAGTTTGGATGCACATTTCGTTCCGTGCCTCTGAAGTTCGGTGTTCGCTCTAACGCCTCCATTTCTCTTAACCTTCCAGAAAGTATGGCAGCATTTTTGCTTAAACGACCGGCTTCCTCAGACTCTTTTTGTAAAGCTGTTTTTTGTCTGGCTCTGGCTGGAATTTCGGAACCTAGGAAAACGCAGCCACCGACCTGAACTGCTGCAATTGAGATCCACCAGTTCAGGTCGATAGCCAAACTTTGTTCTCGCGGCTTCCCCCGGCCACTACCACGCCAACCAGTAGCTGCCTTGTTTACCACCACAAGCCAGGGCTTTCTGGTGTTTAGATGTACTGCTTTACTGAGAAGGTTTCTGCGAGAACTAGAACAACCTTTTGCACAAACAGCCATGCTTTTCCTGGGCATCGTTCAAGCAAACATAAGCGTTAGAGAAAACTGTCAGTGTAGAACCATCACAGCACATTAGCACCAGAGCACGTATTCCCCACCAGTAGCTTGGATTCTTTGGAACATTCCGATATCAGCAAAGACCATTCTTTGCAATCAGACCCTTTGGTCATTGGCATAACAAAGACAAAACACCCATGACACCCCTCGTTATAGGTAAAGTAGAATATTACACATGATGCGAAAGGGCAAGAAACAGAGCAGCAGTTGCACAAGCTACGTTTTCCGAATCCACCTTTCTACCCATAGATTGTTTGTTCCATCCATGTCCAGTCACTCACAGGGTAAAAGAGGGAGTAGAAGCCTGAGCTGCCATCATAAGTTCCAGGGAACGTTGGCCCGAAGAGTGCATAGATCAAGACAAAAGTCGTTGGAATGTTCGGCCCCCTGCAACAAAAAAAAGGTAAGCACAAGCGTCAGAGCACAACACGATAAAAATGAGCCACGGGAAATGACATGGAGAGAAGGGAACCTGACTGACTGAAGCAAAGGTGACCCTAACCAAGGAAAAAGAATGACGAGGAGGCAAGGCAAGACATATGACTGTCAGTTATACCTTACAAAACAGGAGTGGGCAGCACTTTTCTTTGTTCTTTTTTCCCACGATGCTGGACACGAATAGCCACTCTCTGGTTGATACAGACCAGCATGTTAGAACCATTTTGCATGCTATTGACTAGCATCTTAGGCACACATTTGCACACTCTGTAGTTCCTAGACGATTAGCTAGTGGAGGCAGAGTTGAGGAAAGCTGCGATTGCTAAAGGTAGTTAGACAAGCTCACTTCAATGGGCAAGCTCACTGTGATGGACGGGCTGGCTGGGATGGAAGCGCTACCTTGGATGTCTCTTTCCCTTAGCTTGAGGCAGTCAGACATCTGAGCAGATCGAAGCCAGCCTATCCTGCCTGCGTTAGCAATTCTGGTAGGACTCTTCCTGACCATGCCAGCATCCTGCTCCTCTTGTAGACCTACACCACAGTATTCTTCCTCCTACACAATCCCTCTTTCTTGTCCCGCAGCCTTTCCCTGCACCAGCCATTGCAGCTCTGGACCACAAAGCTGAGGACCCTGGTACGACTAAGCTGCTGTATGCAAGACTCCAGAGTCCGACCCAAGCCTGGGAATGCTAGCTCACTTCAAATGAGAAGCTGCTGCTGCAGGCGACAAACAGCAGGTCCAGCACACATCAGCCTTTTGGCGGCATTGCATCCCTCTACCACTTGTATGGCAGCCATAGCTACCCTCTTCTACCAGCTACTAACATTTTGCTGTTGCAGCCACCTATCTAACCACCATTCGAGTGATACCGAAGCTACCATCACGAAGCTAGTGCTGAGCTCTACTGGTGATGCATGGTTCTGCGTCACTGGATGCCTCGAGAGTAAGGTCTAGAGAGGAGGAGAGGTGATCTGTGGCTCGCTAACCAGTCGGCACTTGCTGTGCAATGGGCAACACTGAACTCGAGGTTGTTGGGACCACACGAAGGTTGGGCCCAAAGTGTGTTCTTGCCAACAGTACCACACATCTTCCCATCCATCAACAGACTACCTACAATGATAGACCTATGTCGGAGAGCTTGGGAGGCCCTCTCTACCATCTTCCACTCTTAGTGTCCAGCACCAGATAAAGACCGACAAGCGGGTGGGTGGATATTCAAACAGACAGATGGGCAGACAGGTCGACATGCAGGTGGATGGACTGACAGGAAGACAAACAGAGATGGGCAGCCAGGTGGGGCGGGTGGATGGGCTGATAGACCGATGAACAGACAGAGGGGGAGGCAGGCATGGGGGCAGACAGAAGAACGGGGAGAGAGACAGACAAAGGAACGGGGAGAGAGAGAGAGAGAGAGAGAGAGAGAGAGAGAGAGAGAGAGAGAGAGAGAGAGAGAGAGAGAGAGAGAGAGAGAGAGAGAGAGAGNAGAGAGAGAGAGAGAGAGAGAGAGAGAGAGAGAGAGAGAGAGAGAGAGAGAGAGAGAGAGAGAGAGAGAGAGAGAGAGAGAGAGAGACAGAGTAAGACAGGCAGAGACAGAGAGAGATAGAGAAAGACAGAGAGACAGAGAGAGACGGAGAGCCACAGAGAGAGAAAGAGAGCCACAGAGAGACAGATGGAGACAAAGAGGGAGAGAGAGTTCACCATAGCGGTGGAGAGATACTTGCAGGATTGTCGAGTCCTCAAATAAACTTTGCTTACTGGTCATCTGAGTATCAAGGTCTCACAGTTTGCATATTGGTTGGCCAAGCCTCATGTACGAGGCCACTCTATCGTACATTTGCCATTTGGGTACAAATTCATTTAGCGAGATCTCACGGATTCGGTATTTAGGTTCTATTCATTATCTTCTGCAACGAATTTGCATTTTCAAAGAGGCAGCAAGCATCTGCTCCGTGTGCTCAACTATTCCGCCCGTTTTGTGATGTTGTTCTTTGTGGGTTGCATTCTCGGCTGAACGGTGAATCGGCACTCAGCAAGTGCATGCCACCGACAACTTTCTGAAGCTGCAACTTTTACCGCCAACATCCAAAACACATCCTGAGCTACAGGTCATTCAACGAATAACAGCTCAACAGCAGAAAAGTGAGGTCAGGTCTGTTCATTGTGCACTTACTCCACATGCTCCAACACCTTGGGCCAGCCCTGGTGCAAGTTTACCTCGAGACTCTCTTGCCTGAGCATCAGGAAGCTCAGGATGCGATATGATCAAGAGCCTCTCACCTAATCAAACCAGTCTTACCATGGTAATTATTAAAGCCAATCTTTGGGACATGACTAGAATAACTACGTAATAACCACCACCATGGCACCATCACAATTGAGCACATATGAACGCTTGCAGATTTGCATTTTCTGCCCCCAAAGTCGGACAATCCTCAATCTAATCAGGCAAATTCCCCCAAATATGTATGGCTGCAGAACTTGCAATGCACACCTGTTCTTCCTGCCAAACTCACCTTCAACCCCAGTTCTCAGTTGCCCACGCACTCACGCCACCCTCCTGACTTGTTTGCTTCCTCACCTCAGCAGCCCATCACCTCTCCCTCATTCTGATCAGTGCTGCATGAAAGTACACCACAAGTGCCTCCAAAGTTGCTTGACTGCATATATCAGACACCCAGCCAAGGCTCAATAGGTGTGGCAAGCTGCACAGAGCTCGGTCTGGAATTTCCATATTCCATGCATCTCATATTGACTGTCATGGTGGGGCAGGCCTCAGCAGTGGTATGTTTTGTATGATCCTCAGCACGCATGAACCGAGTCATGAACTTGTGGGCTTCATGCTTTCTTGGTGCATCGAAGACTCGTGCAGTCTTGCTAGCTTAACAAATGCACGGAAAAGTGGATACCCATAAGAAGAAATGCTGACCGCTAGAAAGGACAAGAAACGACTCCGAGCAACCGTTATCAATGCAGACGTTCAGAGCCTTTACTCCGACCATCCCACAATTAACCGCGAACCATCCTTCGTTCCAGTACAGCAAGTTGATTGCTGCCAGCAGAAGGTTTTCCATGATGTGAAGCTGTTAGCATACAGCTCTTGCTGCAACGACGGTTCATAGAAACCTGCCAAGGTTGGGCCTTCAATCAATCATCTTATGATAGTGGCTTAAAATGATTACCATATCTCGTAGCCCTGTCCATGTTCAGACTTCAGTCAGCGGCCTGAATGTGTGCCATAGCTGATCGTGTGCCATAGTGTTCGGTTAGGGCAATAGGGTTCACACAGCTAGCTGTGCCAAGGGATGGGCTGCTGACCCCCTTTTAACTACAGGGGAGCCAGACAGTTCATGCAGGGTCAGAAAGAGGCCTGGGCACACACCCCAGTTCCCAAAAGGGTCCATCCCTTTCTGACGGGTAGAACTGCTGGGCAGTTGCAGGAACCAGGAATGTCAGCTGTACACCAAAGCATGCAGCCGAAGCGGTTGGTTTGACTATTGGTCTGGACTTTTGGTTTCTAATGTACCAGTGGTTTACGCCACAGGTAGCTCAAATGTCTACCATAATTGTCTGATCAAGCAGAAGGATACTTGGGAGGGATTCCCATGAGAACTGTTTTGAAAAATTGAAAATCCCTTCCACTTGTGGCTTCCTATGTACAAAGAGCAATGCATGGCTCCCCATTATTTGCAGAGCGGAGTAAGGTCTACCAGACAACGGTGGGTTGCGACAGACGTTGCTGTTACTCGTGTAATGAATGCTTTGGGGTTTCAGCTTCCTGGCCGATGCACATGAATAACACGGCTCTGAAAGGCAAAGTCCAAGGCACTGGCAGTTTAGAAAACAGGTACCTCCTGGCAAATCCGCTAATCCTATGACTGCTTTGGGGTTTCAGCTTCCAGATCGATGCACATGAATAACACGGTTCTGAAAGGCAAAGTCCAAGGCACTGGCAGACAGTGGCAGTTTACAAAACAGGTACCTCCTGGCACTGGCAGTTTAAAAGACAGGTTCCTGGCAAATCCGCTAATCCTATGACTGCTTTGGGGTTTCAGCTTCCAGGCCGATGCACATGAATAACACGGTTCTGAAAGGCAAAGTCCAAGGCACTGGCAGTTAAAAAAACAGGTACCTCCTGGCAAATCCGCTAATCCTACGACTGCTCGACCGACTGAAAAAGAGTCGGCCTGCTGACATCCAGCACAGCACAAAACAGTAGTGGTGGTTTACTAGTACTTCGTAATAGAAGGCCGGATAAATCACAGAAGAGAACCTCAAGAGGATGCTCGAAAGACGACAAAGAATTTGAAAAAAAAAAGGGGGGGAAGGAGCAACATGAGCTCAAATGGAACAAACCTTAGATTGGCACTTACCCAATGACAGATGTAGCATATCGCATCTGAAGCTTTGTTATGTCAAACACTTCAATAAGCCGCAGCCTCTGCAAGCAACCAGAGAGGGAGGAGGGGGTGAGGGGTGAGGGGTGAGGGGTGAGGGGTGAGGGGGGAGGGGGGAGGGACAAGGGGGGAAAGCGCAGTCGTGGGAGGAGAGGAATCAGCAAACACATTTACAGAACATCCCACTAAGTAACTTACCAGTCCACTAAAATTACACATTTGATGTCACTGCTATCGCTACCATCCATTCACCAAAAAAATGCAACCGACCAAGATGCAGCCCAAGGACAAACCAGCGAAGGACTCTCACAATGTTACAGACCAGGGATTGTGTGCCCCATTCAAATCCAGCTCACCACAGTAGCACATGCCATCACAGTTGCACGGTGCAAGAACGGCTTAGCCATCATGTAGACAAGAAGCACATGCCGAGAGAGAGAGAGAGAGAGAGAGAGAGAGAGAGAGAGAGAGAG